CATATTAATACTTACTCGTTTACGAAAGCCTTCACTTTTATTTTCTTATGTCCTCTGGTCACAAATATCGAGTTAAAGAAATGTACTTTGTTTTCGAGGTGGAGCAGAAAGTTATGAATTGAAGGCGACAACGACGATTGTGAGTGTGTGAGAAAGAGATGAGTGGGGTTTAGGGTTTGCTGGAGCGAGAGTTGAAATTTTAGGGTTTGCTCGAGCGAGAGTTGAAATATTACTATAATTTTGGACACTTACCATTTTAACTTCACAATTATCATATGTAATTGATATACTTCGTGCACGGGTTAAAATGGACACTATAATTTCGGACACTTACCATTTATATAGGTAATAATTGCACGGAGTAATAATTATTACATTTTTTGGTTATTGCCTTTCTTGCTATTAAACATAAATATAAATATATATATATTTAAAGGGTTTTACCGTATTAATTTTTTTTGAAACGGTGTGTATAATTACTCTTACCATAATTATATTATACTATAATCATACGCATGTTTTTTATATAGTCTAGTCACACGGTAATCATATAATTATATAATTATGGTAAGAATAATCATGCACACGTTTTTAATAACATTGATTGGCGTGTTTTAAAGTTTTTATATATTTTTTATAAATAGTTTTTGCCTATTAATAATAACCAGTCTTAATGAATTACCTTTTTTTATTTAATTCGTAAATACGTCAATCTACATTATTACCATTTTTAATAATAATCAGTCTTATTAATTATAATTGTTTTTTAAATTTTTATCACTAAAGGAGAAAAATTAAGACTGAAACTACCATTTTTAAAGTAAGGAAATAAGAATTCAGAAATTACCTTTTTTATTTAATTCGTAATTACGTCGGTCTACATTATTACCATTTTTAATAATAATTAGTCTTATTAAATATAATACTTTTAAATTTTTATTATTTAAGGAGAAAAATTTTAAAAATGGCAATTTTAAATAATTATGACAGTTAATTATTATAAATATAATATAATAATTATACTTATAAAACATAAATTTTATATTACTATAATTTTGGATACTTAACATTTTAACTTCACATTATTATATGTAATGGTCATAGTCTTTGAGCGGGAAAACACAATGTTGACTCCATGTCTTTTTGAATAAAGTGTCAATGTCACATCTCACTTTTCCCAATAAAGTGACCCTTGTTATGCCCACAATCGTTTGGACTTGCCCATCTCCCATCCATACCCAGTCATGGTTGGGCAGGACAAATTCACGATTCAATTTTTCCCTTAGCCATCTACTAATATACAAAGCTAATGGGAAAAAAATGAATAGTAGATTTTCCCTCCAAAACGAACAAGCCAATATGAGGGTACGAAATGATGGCCAACCTATGTGAGCATGGGAAATCCAAATTGATGGTTATGATGGTTAATGGCATTCGAAAAGACAACTCAATAAAGTAAAGTTCACTTTATTGGTTTGGAAAAAATAATTTCTTGCATTAATTGTCTTTACTTTACTTAATAGCTTCTTCTCTCATATAAATTAGGGCTTCTCTGTCATTCAATACCCCAAAATCTTTACTCTCAAAAATTCTCTCACCCAATTTCGAAAAAATGGCTTCAAACCGATCATCCATATCTTTGGGACATGATGGAAGGCTTGAGTCAAACTGTGGAGAAGGTACAAAAAACACTATATGTTACTTATACCATGTTAGTGATTAAAACTAACATTTTGAAGTTTTTTTGTTTAAAAAAATAGATTGGTTCAAACGAGATTTTTGGGAGTAAAAGCAGTTCGTAAAAGTTCACGAAGGAGATATTGATTAAACCAGATGATTCAATCAAGAGAATATTGTTTGATGAATCTTCAACAACCAAGTCCGAAAAAAAGCTCAAATCTATCAAGGTGGAGAAATGAGAGGCAAAACAACGATGGAGAATGTGCTTTTGCACTGGGCGGTTAAATGATTTTTGGAAATTTAGAAAATGCAATTCAGGCACTAATCTCTAATCATGTCCTCTTAAGTACTTAATTACAATTTTAATTGTGTACTAAAACTTTGTGCTATGTATGGTTGGCTTTTGTCCGTTCTTTATTTTGTTTAAACTCATTTTGTACCAAGATGGTTTCTTTTACTTATTCCAAATATGTTGCGATAATATTTGCTTATATTATTATAATGGATATAAGGATTCCAATAAAAAATAATGGAAATGTCGAAATTAATTGTCGTTTATAATGTTGAAACGTGAGAAATCAGAATTTAAAATTTAAGAAATGCTAAGTTCAAATGTGTATTTTGATTTAGTTCCTATGTTGGATTAAGGCTTCTATGTTTTTCAACAAATTAATTATTAAATGAATTTGGAGCAAAGACAATCATACATCACCATGTTACAAATAAATCTCAACAAATTAATTATTAATGATACAAAAACAAAGAGATTGAAAAACACGTTAAAAGAAATCAAAGGCAGAGCCATTAATATGTATTGGTTAATGTGTATTGGTTAATAAAATATTGTGGCTTTGATTAAGAAACATAGAGACACGAACCCATTAATAATATGTAATAAATGTCTGAATCTTTTGATATGAAAAATGTCTTGAAAAGCGAAATTTTTTGAGGCTCTAGGTGACGTACCGCAGTCTTTTCATATTTTTTAAAGTTTTATCTAGAGCTACAAATATATGAAGCAATAATTTAGGTTTTGTCTAGAGCCACGAACCCATTAAAGACGTATTGAAAGGTGTTATCTAAAACCACACAATTACCCTTATTGGCATTGGGCTAGGCTCGAATTTTTACTTTCTGGGCAGGATTAAATATGGGCTGGGTAGAGCAAATTGTTGGGCTCGCATTTGGGTGAGGATCTTGGGTTCTAAAACTTTGATTTTCAGATTTATGTTTTAATATCTTCTTTGCAAATCAATTATTTATTACAAAAAAAAATACTACTAATTTTAAGTATAAAATATTTTTTAGTTGGCCGTTACTATTATTGTTTTTTTACTTTAAAAAATATAGTTTTTACTACCAAATACTAACATGCACGTCATGCCCAAAATTTAGACTTTGAAATTATTCTACGAACCTATGCCTCTTGCAATTTAGAAAATGATGAACTTGCCATGGAACCGTGTTGGAATTGCAAAAATCATTGGGGTCATTTGAGGTGTCTTTGCATTGGTCGCATTGAAAATTCTTGGGACTATTTCCTTTGCCACCCGTGTTTTGCACTATCGTTGGAACCAAGTTCTTCGACTCAGACAAGACGTTCAAAGAGAATCAAAAGACCAAATAAAAATATTTATAATTCCGATTTCATTGTTTATTAACATATATTATATTTGAAATTATGATTCTCCTTTTTTGTCATGTTTAATGGAAAAAAATTTACAAAAAATATAGTGTACAAAGAAGTATTTCAGAACCTCTAATTTCGCTCCTATGTTTCACTATTATTAACCAACATTACGATGCAATCTATGTAATCTTTATACTCTGTATTTCATATAATTTAGCTTTGTTTTCTTATATACATGATTAATTTAATATATTAGTCTTAATAACTGTTTAACTACTGACCGTGCATCGCACGGGTTAGGATACTAGTTGTATAGTAAAAGATTATCGAATTGAGTTATTGGACTCTGAATTGAACACTTGATGGATCAGTGCTCAGGCCCAAATAAATTATGCCTAAGCATAACATTTTTTAAAATACAAAAGCAAAGGGGAAACATGAATAATATTTTTTCCCGCCTAAGCTTTTCGGTTTCGGGTTGGATAAAAAAATATGCAAAAAATATTTTTTTCTCATTAATACCTCCGTGAATTTTACTTGATGGAGTATATTTATTTATAAATTGATATTCATTTATTTATGCAATAAAGAATTACTTTTATTTATTCAAAAAAATTACATGCAAGGATAAATGATAAAAAAAATATTCAATTCTGTCTGACAACCATAATGAAAGGCTACTCTTCTCAGCTTTTCATATTTTGATTTTTCTAACTCAAACTGCCAATCCCAACAGATAGACCATGTTCTCTTCAATTTATTCTTATTATTCATTACTTTTTTAATTAGAATCAGATCAGATTAAATCATATTAGAAATAACTTTAAATATACTAGATTAAGATTTGATCAGATCAAAATTTATTCTAATCCAATTAAAACCATTCAAATCAGGTGAAAAGAAAATAACCTAAATGCCAAATGGTTCTTTTTGTTTGACATGTCAAAACCGTCAAAAGCTATCCAATCCCAAATAAGGCAAATTCTTTCGTGGAGCTGAAGTGCATGCTCATTTTGTGGAAATTAGTGCATTTATAGAATTAAAGAAATGTGTCCTTTACAAAAGAAGAAAATATCAAAATACAAACCTATAAAAAATGTAAAAATATCAAAATACAAACCTATAAAAAATGTAAAAAGATTAAGGGGCTGTTTGGCAACTTCTGAATGAGTAAGTGCTGAACCAGTAAGAGGTCTGAATCATTAAGTGCTGAACCAGTAAGAGGTCTGAACCATTAAGAGCTAGTATATTGCTTAACTATTCAGAGGCAAATGTCTGATCAATTCAGATAAAAGGTCTTAACCATTCAGACTCTGTATAATACTTAATCATTCAGAGGCAAATTTCTTAACCATTCAGACATCTGAACCATTAAGAGGCTGAAACAAACAGTCTGAACCATTAAGTGCTGAACCATTCAGACATCTGAACCATTAAGAGGCTGAAACAAACGGCCCTAACATTTTAAATATGAATGTAGAAATCAGATAGGCAGTCCCCAAATACTCCGTAACAAACATCAAACATGGCCCATCTCTCACACGGCCACATCAAACCTCCAAAGTCCAAAATACATTTCCAATTTTTTTTGTCAACAAGAAAATGCAATTGGTAAATAAACATTTGAATCCCCAACGTCTATTCAACACCAACGGTTGAGATCTAGCGATTTCTCAGTTGAAAATAAATACGTAGGGGAGTAAATAAATACAGTGCAAAATACGTCTCTCAGCTCCAAATCCTCTGATCTTCTTTGACAGACGGAGTATCTTTTTTCAAACCACCGTGAAAGGCACGGCGGAGCTCACAAATTCGCCGTGAAAGCCTCCAAGAAACCCTAGTTTCACTTTCGAAATGCGTCAAATCTTGAATTTATTCACTGGAAAAGGGTCACCTTTCGTCGTGCCGTGATGATTTCTTTGAACGCGCATCTGGAATCCTAAATTCTCCGTTGCCGGAAAGATGATAGTTCGAACGTACGGCCGGCGTGGGAGAGGCGTGCCTCGAAGCTACTCAGGAGCTCGCAATGGGTTTGAAGATGGCGTTTCATCCCAAGAAAGCCCTCACGACGTTTACAATTTTGAATTCTCGTCCCAAGACTCGGGTCCTTGGGCATCATCGTTAAATGGTTCAGATCCTTACGGTATTGGGTCATCTCAGGAGTGCCATGATTCGGAAATCTTTATGTCTGAGGAGGGTGACTTGGATGTTGAGGATCGGAATGGGCACTGGAGATCCAAGAAGAAGATGAGGGTCTTTGATTGGGATCCATACAGCTCGAATTCGTCGCAGGAGTCAGATGAATTAGTGATTTTATCCCCGAAAAGTGCCAGGGAGTGTGGGGATTTTGGGAAATCAAAGAAGGCAAAGCCCGGGAAGAAGGGCAAAGAAAATGGGGTCTTGCAGAAGAAGAAGATGAATACAAAGGTTGATCTGGAGGAGCCAGAGTCAATTGCAGCCACATTGATGGAGACCCAAGAGCACGGGGAGATGATGGAAAATGTTGATGAAGTGAATTTTGCCTTGGACGGTTTGAGAAAGGGGCAGCCAGTGAGAATCAGGAGAGCAAGTCTGTTGTCTTTGCTTTCCATATGTGGAACTGTTCACCAGCGCAGGCTTTTGAGAGTTCACGGGTATGCCCATTCCGCACTTCTCTCTATTTCCCAAACCTTTGATTTGTGTAAGGCTCGTTTTTTTCTGCAGTTTAAGTACAATTGTGTCATCTAGTGCTGTTTTTCGTTAAGTATTTGGGGTTTAGCTGATCAAATAGCTCATTCTGGGAAATCTTGGGACCATATGAATTTGAAAGTTAGAAGGAAGAATAATGTGTAGAAAAATTCACTTATTTGAGAATCCATTCATATGCTCCATAGTTGGGACCATAGTTAGGCTTCCACCTTTAAAATTGATTTTCTTTCCATAATGCTCCATAGTTAGGTATCTTGAATCAGTAGTCAGACTAGTTTATTTGAGAATCCATTCATATTCAAACGGCAATGCACTCTATAATAAGATGTTTCTAACCCCTAGTATTATTCTCCTTACACTGTGTTCTAGTCTATTTACTTTTTAAATTGGCTAAGTAATATTGCATCAAGATCTTCTATCAGTACATAGGCCTTTCCGTATTGCTGCTATAACTTTGACCCAGCTAAACTCATGTTCTAACTCTGAGAAAACAGTGGACAGAGGGTTATAACCTTACATGTGTATGCCTTTGGATAAACATATACAGGTATAGTTACACAACAAGTGCTATACTCTGGTCAAATTATGGAGGTCTATTTTTAATCAATTATCCATGACTCCATGCTCCCTTTCTTACCAAGTTTCTTGTTTTAGGGTGGCCCAAAGAATTGTTGATGCTGTTGTGGGGCTCCCTTCAGATGATTCATCAAGCAACCTTGCAGCAGGAGCTCTGTTTTACATTTTCATTAGCGATGTAAGTTACTTCTACTGCTCTTTCCCTTCAAATGGTAAATATATGTTTCACCTGGCTCATCTAAAATAATCTCATTTGATCAGCACACTTTGAAATCTTTATCTTGACCAATATGTGCAAAATTAGAGGTTAATTTATTTAGATTTGTGTGTGTGGGGTATTGTTTGTGGAAGATGGCTTAGAGTTAGAAGAAGATCATGTCTATATGGAACTTCTGGTTCTCTTTATTTATTGGTACAAGCTATACATGATATGCTATGCTTTCAGTGTGAAGAGCTCATATATTTTCTTGCATGGATTTAACATCTATGCTCTTATTATACATTACAGTAGCATCTGCTTCACTTCCCAGGCCACATTTACCTGAAATGTTTTTTTCCACCTTTACATTTTAAATTCCTGAACATCTCTTTTCAGGGACGAGATGACCATCTTCTAGATTCTCCAGGCTGCATTTGCTTTCTTATTAAGTTGCTGAAACCAGTTAAGTCTGTTGCTTCTGTAGAAAAAGCACAGACAATTGGAAGCAAGCTTCTTGCTATACGCTTGGACGCTGATATCTCCCAAGATTTAATGAAAGGAACTGATTCTACTTCCAATTCTATTAATAAAAAGGTTCAAGAAATTCTTGTCAGTTGCAAGGAAATGAAGCCTATATGTGACAATGACAGAAGTCAGATACTGGAACTGAATCCAAAATGGATTAGTTTGTTGACAATGGAGAAGGCTTGCCTATCTACCATTTCTATCGAAGGTTTGATTGTCACTGCTTTTGGTGTCATTAATGTTGTATCTTTTTTGCTCTATTTGCTTTGAAATGGCATTCCATTGATGTTCTGACATTTTCTAGGAAAGAGTACAATACACATATGTGATCTAGATAACACAATAATCAGTACTTATAATTGAAATGGCACATTGCAGATAATTATTTATTGACCACCGAACACTTCGTTGTTCATAAGTATACTGCAAGTACTTAACTGATCATAACTTTCTGGCTTCATATTTGAGACTTATATTGTTTTTTTTTGTGTTATCTCGATTCTCAAACTTTTCCAGCATGACCGTTATAACTTGTCTTGCTTTCATTCTCCCTTCTAAATATCACTCCATACTCTCAGGAATGGGTTTATGATGGATTTCATACTAATTATAAGAATGTTCAACTTAGGTTTTGATGTTATTTTTTTTTTTGAATTTTGATGCTGTTGATTTTTATGACATCAATTTCTATTTGAAATCACAGACACGTCTGGCACTGTGCGAAAAAGTGGAAGCACCTTCAAGGAAAAGTTGAGAGAGCTTGGAGGACTTGATGCAGTTTTTGAAGTGGCAAGGAACTGTCATTCAGTTTTAGAGGTTAGACCTGTATTTTGTTTGTTTGTGTTTTTTAGTCATCATGTTTGGTAGACTGCATTATAAATAGTGCACTGTATTTGGTAGGGATGAAGTGCGTGAATGAGATGGCCATCTGTTTATTTTTGTATGTGTGTGTGTAAGTTAATTAATTAATTATTTGTTTGTGCAGGAATGGATGATGAAGATTTCATCTTCATTTTTTGATGCAAAAGATACTACTGTATTAGAAAGTTTGGTGCTGCTTTTAAAATGTCTAAAGACCATGGAAAATGCCACATTCTTGAGTATGGATAATCAGGTATGCAGGATATTGAGCAGATTCAATAAATCCATAGAGAAAGTCTAGTATACCATCTCAAAGTATGGAACATCAAAAGAAAAAAAATAATTGTGTAATGAGCTGCTCAAGGGTAGTTACATAACTTACATCTTTGTAACTTTACTCTTTTGTCGTAGAACCACTTGCTGGAAATGAAAGGAAAGATGGACAGTCTGAATTCCGCTAGGTCTTTCACAAAGCTTATTTTAAGTGTCATTGGGACTCTATCAGGTAAGCATTTTTGGCTAGACTTTTTGCCTTCTTGCAGTTCACAGCAATCTTCTTTCTTCTCTTTTTCTACATATTTTTTTAAATGTCTGATTTGTTATGAAGGTGTTTACTTGCATAGACGCTCTTCAGAAAACTTTCAGGGCAATAAGATCTCTAGACTCTCTGTGTCACCTTCAATAGGTAGAGAATTCAGGCTAAAATTTACAAAGCTACTGGACTAATGATGTATTAATTTGTATCCGTTAATATGCAAATATTTCATTCACCTGAACATTTTTGAATGGTTTTTTTTTTCTTTCTGAAAATGCAGGAGACAGCAAGGAGATTTTTTCTATCATCTCATCTCTCAGCACAAGTGAAGGAGCATCTTCCTCAAAGTGTTTTACTGAATCTCAAACTGACCAATTAGGCTCTTCTAATTCTACTTTAGAAGGTACAACCACTGCCATCACTGATTCTTGGTGGTCGAAGACAAGAATTGACTCTTCCACATCTGGATCATGCAGTGGACGCTCTGGGCATAATAATGCGGGGACAAAAAATAACACCACAAATGTAAATAACTTCGATAAAATTAGGAATGTAAGCAATGAAAGCAAGGTGTTTGGACTTGTGGATGATACCCGAGATCCTTTTGCTTTTGATGATGAAGATTTTGGACCTTCTAAATGGGACTTGCTGTCTGGAAAGCAAAAAGTGTCTCAGCCTAAAAGTGGCAGGGGTAAAGCTCATAGACATAAAGATATGACTCAGTCTTCCCCCATGCCGAGCCAACAAGAGTCTAGTAATAATAACCACAATAAAAGTAGCTCTTGTGAGGCTTCTCCTTCATGTTCATCTGCTGTTGGTGAAGAAATGTCCAACCTTCTGGCAGACTGCCTGCTTACAGCTGTTAAGGTAAATTGCTTGTTTTCTTTAAATATGCTCCTTCCATCCCTAAATGATTGCCGTTTTAGAAAAATTTACACATATTAATAAGATTTTAAAATGACTCTTTTATCCTTATTTAAGTTGAGCATTAGAAAGAAGATACTATTACCGTCAAGTTTGCTCCCATCTCAACTTTTTATTCTCACTAACACACACATACATGTGAGATCAAGTTGTGTTGGGGGCAATATTTGGATGCTGGATGAAGTTCTCTTTAGCTCAGTAGTTTGGAGGGGTGTTGTGAACCTTTTCCAACCAATATTTTTAGCTGTCTGTTGCCACATAATCAAAGGGAAGATTCATATTTCATTGTCCATGATAGAAAGGAACAATAAGGAATTTAATGCGCCATTTGTGGGTTTTAGAGTGACATTGAGTTTTGTGCAGGTTTTAATGAACTTAACCAATGACAACTCCATCGGTTGCCAACAAATTGCTGCATGTGGAGGTCTAGAAACACTGGCTTGTTTGATCGCCGGCCATTTTCCCTCTTTCAGCTCTAGCTTGGAGCATGTTTTACCTTCTAAACCGGACACCAAGCCTGGCCATCAAATCGACAGTCTTCTCAGTGACCAAGAGCTAGATTTTCTTGTTGCTATTTTGGGCTTGCTTGTGAATTTGGTAGAGAAAGATGGACACAACAGGTATATATTTTCTTGCACTATGTCAAACTGTTGAAAGCCTGCAACCAGATTACTTCTTCCTGTCATTAGCATGTGGTATAAGCTTATGAATTTTAAAGCATGACTTTATGTTGATGATACTAGTTCTTTGTAGAAAAGTGTTTTGTGAACTTTTGTTGATTCTTTGCTTCTTTTTTTTTTTTTGTAATAAATCACACACACATACACAAACAACTTATTTTCAGGCAATCAAACGAAAACCCCTTTATTTTCAGCTACATCCCATTTACAACTCCTTAAATCCCCTTATCCCCCACCCCCTCCAGAAACAACAAACCCATTAGTGTCTCACAAAAATAGGGTCTTGGAGGGTGTGTACCCACAAACCTTACCCCCACCCTCCAAATAATAATTATAATACTAAAATCACAATGCCTAATGTAAAATTTTTTGGGCTTCCAGATCAAGGCTTGCAAGGGCAAGTGTTTCCTTGCCTGGGATTGAAGGTTTAGAGGGTAGCTGTACAGATGTAATCCCGTTACTGTGCTCCATCTTTTTGGCTAACCAAGGAACAGGTGAAGCTGCTGGAGAAGGGACTTTGACATTGGTGAGTGAGGATTACACTCTGCCCTAACTAATCCATATTCCATACACGGCACTATATTTTATTTACCTGCGGCTATAAATGGTTATGTTGTCCCACAATGCAGGAAGACGAGGACGCCCTATTAAAGGGACAGAAAGAAGCTGAGAAAATGATTGTAGAAGCTTATGCAGCTCTCCTCATTGCTTTCCTTTCAACAGAAAGGTGAGGTGTAGAATTTGGATTGTCACACACAAACCCACACACACACACAAAACAATGCCGGTGCGATTTTTTTGCAAAATTTCCAGGATTTTCCCTTCGTCTTAGCCATTTGATCCGAAACCCATTTCTCGTTTTTCATGGGAAGTGAACTTTTCATCTGCACACATACTTTATTTCATTCTCAATGTCACTGTTTGTGGCAGTCAAAGCACACGCAACGCAATCACCAAGTGTCTTCCAGACAGGAGTTTGGGTATCCTCGTCCCCGTGCTGGAGAGATTTGTGGTATGTGAACTTTATTATTGTTATTATTATTATTATTATAGTTATTATTATAATAATTATTATTGTTATCCTTCCCTTCATCTCTGATGTAATTTGCTGAAAATCCAGGATTTCCATTTGTCACTGAACATGATATCGCCGGAGACTCACTCTACAGTGCTTGAAGTAATAGAGTCATGTAGGGTTCCATGAACAAGGATTAAAGATCAGAATTCAGGATTTTTCATTTTTTTTCCATCACAGTATACTGGTGTCTGTATATTCTGTCTTCCCCAGTAATTATGCTCTCTCTTCTTCTTCTTGGTCATCTAATTTCTCCTGTATACAGACAACAGAATCTCTCTGTTCCTCAAACACTTGTAGAGCCAGACACATATAATGAAATGCAATCATAGACTTCTTTGCTGAGGATGTCTCTTTGTTTTCTTGTTAAGTGTCTGGTGCTCAAAGTTGGTCCATTATTTAACTCGTTCAAGTGCTCCTAAACTGTACAGGTTTAAATTGACAGAATTGGTACATTTTTTGATTGTACAGAACTGATATCCATTTACAGGAATTACAGCAATATATTAACAGATGGTTACATTTTTCTTAGGGTTAAATATGTTTTGGTTTCTGTAAAATTAGCGAGTTTTGTTTTTGGTTTCTCTAATTTTTTTTTTTAAAAATCAAATCATTCTTTTAAAATTATTATTTTTTTCAAATAGTCCTCCCCATATTTAAGTATATCTTTTGATCTTTTTGAAATTTATAAACTTTGTTTTTAGTCGCTTAAGATTTATTTCGTTTATTTATTTCTATTTTAAATTATTATTTATCGGTATTCCCTCCGTCCCAATCTTTACATACACTATTTATAGAGTCAAATTTTATACTCCCTCCGTCCAGAAATAATCTTCCTTTTTTCCCGTCTGGAAATAATCTTCCCATTTCAATTTTTTATACACTAACTACCCAAAATACCCCCACTTACAAATACTCACCCTATCTCTCCCATCCCCCTTTCTCTCTCCTTCCTTAGTTCCTCGCCTCTTTCTTTTCTTTCCTTTCTCTTCTCTTTTTCTTCTTCTTTTCTTCGCACCACAATTAATCCTCCAGATCCGTTCATTCTTCTTCTTCGTCGTCGTCTTCTTCTTCCCCAGTTCTTTCTCGCCCCTGTTTTTTTTCCAGATCTATTCCTTCTTCTTCTTCTTCTTTTTCCCCTCCATTCTTTCTCGTCCTCCTTTTTCCGTCCAGATCCGTCCCTCTTTCTTCTTCTTCTCCCCCAATTCTTTCCCATCCCTCTTTTCTTTCCTTAAATCAATTCATCTTCTTTTTTCCTCTTCTTATTTCCCTATTTCTCCTATTTGTTGTCTTCTAAATCTGTAAGGTCTGGGAAGATCTAGGGGCTGAGGTGGTGGTGGGGGCTGTGGTGATTGTGGGGGGTCGACAGTGGTTTTGGATCTGCGCAGTGGGATCGACGAAAATGGTGGGAGCAAAGGGCAGGGGTAGTGGGTGGGGACAATTGGGGGAAGGGTATTTTGGGCTTTTCCATCCTAAAGTCAACACTTCGTAAAAATAGGAAAAAGTCTAAATGGGAAGTTTAATTCCGGACGGAGGGAGTACATTTTTTTAATTTTTGTTACTCATTTGATATAATAAAACACTCATGTCATATCTACTCTTTGTTCAATAGGCCTAGAAAAGAAGAGCTATATGTTAGAAGAAATTAGAAAAATGTTTTACTCACTGGTCGAGCAATGCTACGTTCACAATCTTCACAAAGCTATCATTCATGGTTTAAATTTTTATTTTAAAATTATTTTAGACTAGTTAAAATTTTTTATTCAAGTTTACAAACAGTAAGTGTGAATTTTGTGACAACTTTGTTTGTAAATCTAGCCTTTCTCGTACTGGTCTGCACTCTGCATGCAAATCTTCGTCCAAAATGAACACTTCATCTGATTCATCATTATCAACCTCAAACAACTTCATTCCCTTACCCACACCCCTGTTGTTCTTGAAGAATGATGCATAGGATCTCATTGGTCTTGACTCAGACATTTCATCAAACACCTGGGGGGTGTCCTTCGCCATTTCCAATTCTTTCGCTACTTCTTCTTCATCAACTGATGGAATCTGGGGCCAATTTGGTACAACGCCGGCTAATTTGACCGGAAAATGGACGGCAATGGCGACGGTGTACTGTTCCGAGCACGGATTTGGGAAAAGAGAACCACACCGGATTTGGTGGAAACAATTGTATTGTTCATAAACAACGTTGGGACTGCGTGACGGCGTCAGCGGGTCAGGCTCAATCTTTGTGATTGGGCCGAGATCCAAGAAAGTCCCCGGGCCATTTCTGCAGAGATGCAGGCTCGGAAGCGAGTCTCCTTCACGGGCCGGATAACGAGACCGAATTGGTCTGGGCTGAGACAAGTGTGGAGCTTTGTTGTCCGGCTGGAAGGTCTTTGGCCGATTTCACAGTCATTCACGTGGCCCTATGGGCTAATTGAACGGGGCTTACGTTCCTGCGGTCATCTCTTTTTGGTGTCATTTTTAGTTTTTATTCCACAAAAATTGGCCTCACAATCACAAGTTTGAACACTTCTAGTTGTTTTGGTGTCATTTTTAGTTTTTATTCCACAAAAATTGGCCTCACAATCACAAGTTTGAACACTTCTAGTTGTACAAAATGATCCGGTTCGAACGTTTTTTATTTGAGATCCGATCCGCTAAAGTAACAATTTTTAAATACCATATACTTTAATGTGAAATATAATATTCTAAATATCATTATAATTCTTTTCTTAATGTTCTTTTGTAATGTGTACATTAATACTTTCATACAGAATTTTAATGATATTGCATAATTATTTCTTTAAATCTCATATTTAGTTTTTTACTCCGTAATTCGTAGTAGTGACACTTGGTCGACCCAACCCCGATAATACTATGTCATAAACATGTATGAATTAGTTTTCAACTCGAATCCGAACTTACCCAAACTTAAAGTGACCGATTGATTTGTAAGTTCTAGTTAAATTCGTTTCTTAAATATCGGAACTTTGATGATCAATAGGCCATGAACTTAAAGTGACTGACTGATTTGTCAGCTCTAGTTAAATTAGTTTATTTGATATGAGAACTTTGATGATCAATAGGTCACGATTTCAAATTTTATTAACTCCAAGTTTAAAAAAGTAATTTTTTATGTGCAAAGGTCAAGCAGAAAAATATTGTCTTTACGTAAGAGAATATGCTAGAGTATAAACCTTATTATGGACTTACAACTAAAAGATTAAACTAGACGAACAAATTGGTTCCTTGACACCTATTTGATTAAAAAATCAAACTAAACGAGTACTCAACAACAATATATATTTTGTAAATTTATTTAGAGTAGATTCCATAATATTCTTTTTTTAAATAAAACACATACACATTAGATATACTATAAATTCACTATATATTGGAGAGAAGTGATATAATAGAGAGGAGGGAAGTAAAGTGTAAGTTCAACTTCTACTTGATTGCTTGGTTGGAAGGAAATGAAGTGGAATTCAACTTCCTCTCATTTTGCTTCAAAAGTGGGAGGAAACTTTTTTAAACTCAAATTCAATTTGTTCCCCTAGGATGGGTTCCGTTCACCTGATCTGATCTGATTTTTTAAATTTTTATTCTAGTTGGATTTGATCTTGATCTGATATAATTTTGATTTAAATTAAACTTATTATTATAATAGTTAAAATAATAGCAATAATAATAAAAATATTTATAATAGTAATAATAATAATAATAGTAATATACTCCCTCCGTCCCACAAAATCTTTTTTTTCATTCATCTTAAAAAACTTTTTTTATTTTTATTAAAAAGTCTTTTTTTTTATCATTATTAGGTCTAAACCAACCTATTACGTCATATCTATTTACTATTAATGTATCTATCACATCCAAAAATATTTTTGGAAAGTCAATACCAAAATACAATCTCCTTAAGGGTCCGTTTGGTACACGGAATTGATAGAATTCGAATTGAATTGGAATTGAAATTCAATGGAATTCAATTCCATAAAATTGAATTCACCAATTTCAATTCATTTTTTGCACTACCAATTTCAAATTCACACAATTTTTGTGCTACCAAACAAGAGAATTGGAATTCAATTCCAAGTTCATAGTTTGAATTTCCTGTACCAAACGAGGCCTAAATCTTTTAAAAGTGAAAACATGAAAATTTTGTGGGGCGGAGGGAGTATTAAAATTGATGAAAAAGTTTGTGAAAGGGCAACAAAGAGCCTATTTGGAAATAATGTTAGAGATTAGCGTTAGTGCTTTGAAAAAGATATGAACCAAAAGTGTTTACCATTTTCAAAGTAATCTGCATCCTAATCCTAAAGATTTATAGCTCAATATTCCGTATTGGGCCGGCTAACGGGAGAGTGAAATAATTCTAAGTTTGGACTGGGACCTCCCAACTCTAATCCCCTTTTCTAGTTTCACTCCCCATCGATTCGATCAGGCCCTCCTTCCCATTCATCGTTCTTCCTTCCAGGCGACCGACCTCTCAACTCAGGTATTTCTCCGCTCTTTCTTCCCTGCTCTTTCTCAAATGATTTTTAAATTCTAATTATGTACTGTTTCTGCTATCCGGTCACGAAGCGCAGTTTCTTTTTCTCGTCATTGATGATTTTTGTTTTAGACTGTGTTCGAGAATTCCACATCTGAAACGCTGCTATACAGATCCTTCATTACTTATGTGTATTTTGAAATGTTCGTATGAAACACAACTCTACGATTCCCATTTTCATGTTTCCGCCAAGTGTTTGCTTGTTTTTTTTTTTGGGTTTTTGGTTTTATATATTTTTAAGGTTAGGGTTTTCGAAGTGAAGTGTTTGTGGTTCACTTTATTCGAGAGTTGCATCTCATTGAAAAGATAAAAAGCCAGATAATGAACAACATTCTGCATGTGCATCCCACTTTGATGTGTTACTTTCCCAAATTGATACGTGATAAATGCCACACACCACACTCTTGACCACGGAGAGCGTACTATAGTCACTCCAATTGTAACACTATTTCACTATTTTTGTGTAAAAATGGGGATATGGATGACAATAGACTTCGGGTTTATCCTTTAGAGGGGGGGGTCTCTGTGTGGGTATCTCCACTTACTATTTATACGCATTGATTTGACATAAAGATGATGAAATTAATATTTGGAGTTCAGAACCCATTTAAAAATATTTTAACAAGAGTTTAATGTAAAATGGTAATAGAAATTCTCAGTTGCTGTGCCTTATCTCTTGTGACTCATGCAATAATATTCTTAAACAAATGGATACACATATACAATTGATATATACATTTAATGTTTTTTTGTTTTCTCTCACAACTTTTGATTGCAGTTTGGATCTAGTGGGGATAATATCTTATCAAGTTCTAAACATACCAGAACATGGCTGATTTGGATGATTTGCTCCTGCTGGCAGCTGGAAGACCTAGTGGAAGTGGGAGGAGTCGTCATTCTCCTGTGTCTAGGAGGCATCACAGAGTTGATGGAATTGACTCAAGAGACAACGATTCAGATGATGATCGGGGTTATTCAAACAGAAAACTATCTGGCTCTCAAGTTCCTCTTAAGAAGAGGTTGGATCCTACAGAGAGAGATGACGAGCATAGTGATCGTGGAGGTGATGATGATGGCTATGATCGTGAGCGTGATAGTGACGATGATTCCATTGGGAGCGACCTTTATAAGGATGAAAATGACCGCCGCGAGCTTGCTCAAATGACAGAGCTTGAAAGAGAAATGATACTGACAGATCGGGCATCAAAGAGATCTGACAAACAAATGCATGATAAATTACGAGGGAAGAACAGCCAAGGAAGAAAATCTAGCCCCCCTCCGTCACAGTCTCGTGGAACCCGCTCTTCCACTAGAGCTCTAGGTCGTGCAGCAGATAGGGATGGCGCATTGAATGAGATAAGAGCTAAACGAGCAAGACAGCAGGATCCTGAAACTCATTGGCAAACAAGAGATGCAGTTCGAAGAGGTACTGGTAGCAGGGGTTACTCACCTGTTAAGAGGAGAACTTTTACAGCTGCCACTTTAGGGAGCAGCCCTAACAGAGCTGAAAGTGGGTCACCAAGTGATGAAGGAGAGTCTGGAGATGATGCAATGGCTGATAGTGATGATGACAAGACTTCCCCCAACTCAAAACTGCCAACTTTTGAGGATATAAAAGAAATTACCATCCGGCGATCAAAACTTGCGAAGTGGTTCATGGAACCCTTCTTTGATGAGTTAATTGTTGGCTGCTTTGTGAGAGTTGGAATTGGGAGATCCAGGTCTGGGCCTATTTACAGGCTTTGTATGGTACGCAATGTTGATTCTGCAGACCCAAACCGGCAGTACAAACTAGAAAATAAAACTACATACAAGTATCTTAATGTTACTTGGGGTAATGAAAGCTCTGCTGCTAGGTGGCAGATGGCCATGGTGTCTGACTCACCTCCTCTTAGAGATGAGTTTGAGCAGTGGGTCAGGGAGGTTGAGAAAGGTGGTGGACGAATGCCTAGCAAACAGGACGTGTTGGAAAAGAAGGAGGCCATACAGAAGACAAATTCATTTGTCTATTCAGCTGATACTGTGAAGCAAATGTTGCAAATGAAAAAATCTGCCACGTGGAAGCCTATGAATGTTGCTGCTGAGAAGGAGCGATTAAGAAGAGAGATGGAAGTAGCAAAAATGAAGAATGATGAAGCTGAGGTAAAGAGGATTACAGCTAGGCTGAAGGAACTGGATGCCACAAGACAAGCCCAGGAGAAAGATGATAAGGCTCATAAACTGGCTGAGATGAACAGAAAGAACAGGGCTGAGAATTTCAAAAACGCATCCGAACTGAAAAATGTGGATACAACTTTGAATGCTGGGGAAGAAGGATATGACCCCTTCTCAAGAAGATGGACTAGGTCAAGGAATTACTATGCAGGAAAGCAAAATGGCGAAGAGAGAGAGCCCACAACAAGAGCCAATGCTCCTGCTGCTGCATCGGTTGCGGAAACTAATGCCACTACAGGTGAAGTAGGCATGGCAGCCACAACTGCTGCATTGAAAGCAGCAGCAGGTGCAGGAAAGTTGACTGATACAAGTGCTCCCGTAGATCAAGGAACAGAGTCAAACACACTACATGATTTTGATTTACCTATTTCATTGGTTACACTTCAGAAGTTTGGAGGGCCACAAGGAGCTCAAGCCGGATTTATGGCACGAAAACAGAGACTAGAGGCAACTGTTGGCCGTAGAGTCCCTGAGGATAATGAGAGAAGACACACACTGACTTTGACTGTCAGTGACTACAAGAGAAGGATGGGGCTGCTTTGATGCATGTATATTGTATAATGGTGTTGCTAATGCAGTATCTTCCTTAAATAACATGCATGCGTTTCAAAAAGCTGCTTTAGATTTTAAATGTAATGGTGCTCAAGTATGTTTCAAGTTTCATGTATGCTTGTTCAAAATGTAACCCTTAGAATTTTTCCTTCATTTTGAAGAACTATAATTAGAGAGGCATTACTTTTTAAATGATCTTCTGTTGAAAATAAACTGATAGAATAGCAAATTTTCCTGTACTTGATTTCCACAGCAAGTTTTTGTGTAAATTGCACCATTTTTGCATCATCCTTTTATAATCTGAGCCACTGCTCTCAAAGACTCACATCGTTTGACACTATGGACTCATTTTTTATTCCTACATATTACAGAGTATTTTTTTTAGACTGGCATTTTAATATTGGTAAAAAATACTAAAAATCATATACAAAGACCACCATCATGGATGCTGATGTTTTGGATGGTAAGTTTGAAGAATAATTTAGAAAGATCTCAACTGTCCATAAAAAACTCAAATATATGGAAGCTCTTGGCTCTGAGGTATTAAAAAAATTGTTTACTCACTGTTATGAGGCACCAAGTATGCTTTTCTTGCTCTTTCTCACCGTTTGTTATTTGAAATGTGTCAGGAGACTGATAAAAGGATGAAGAAACTGTAGGCCTGAAGCAGTTATATCTTGCAAAGAAAAAAGATTCAGAAGTTAGAGGAGGAAGAAGAAAATACCCAGCATGAAGAAAAGAGCATCTCAAACAAAAAGGGAAAGGTTTAATCTACTGTATTCATTTAGTTGGCACCTTGTTGATGAGCTTTGGTGCATTTCATCTCACATCCAGCTTTTGCTGAGAAGAGGGGGTTTCTTTTGGTTGGAGTCAAATAACATGTTTGTGAGATTTTATTAAACCTGATGTGTATATAACCTGTAGACACCGGCTAGAATTGACTTGCAATTGGTGTGCTGAGTGGCTAGTGGCTGTGTTGCTGATGTGTTGTATGACATGGAGACACTAGCAAGTAGCGTCTTGCAATCATGGTTGTCAGTGCACTGCCTAGTCACTGATTAGCTGTCCAGTCAATAAAGCTTAGCTGCCAAGAATTGTCGACTTGCGAGAGGGAAGCAAGGTGTACATTGATCGGACAATATTAGATTCATTTGTGCATGCCCAATACAAAACCGTGCTAGGTACACTTCTTTCTTCTGTGTTCAAGGACTTCAAAAAACCTATTTTCTTTCATCCTCTACTAAATTTACCCTCAATCAGAATCACGGTGTTCGTAAAGTATTTTCTGTGGAAACCTAACTTGAAACCCTAACCTTAGAAAATTCCCCCACTTTGCTCGCTGGGACTCTAAACTTTGAACGGACCTAGAGATCCTCACTGAACCTTATGAAGTAGAACCACATAAAGCCTTGGCAACATTTTTGTTGAAGGGGATTCCATTTTTCATGAATGAATACTCTTGCATAACCTGATGGAAATCTCTGTTGAAGAGTGAGTGGAGGAGGTTTCGAAAGAAACCCAGAAGCTGAGCAAAGACTTGCGACAATTTGGCATGGTCAACCCAAAACCATCTTTTTGTTGAGTGGATAGGCTGGGAGAGTGAGTTGATTGTGGTTGTTGAATGCGTGTATATTTTTCTTTTTTTTGCATGCTCTGGATTTATGAGGTCCCAGTAGTAGAGGGAGGTAATGAGTTTTATGTGTTGGTTGTCGGAATGAATAATCCTTCCATGTGATCCATAAGTATATTTAAAGGATTTGGTGTTCTAAAGATGCAGGAAAAAATAAGAAAATTATTTTTTCAACAAAATACAGTTAATGGACCTTGATTAGTCCGAGTAATCTGTACTTAATTTGTACAGACACTCTCCCCACACCCTACTTTCGTGGTATTCTACTTGGTTGTTTTTGTTGTTGATCTTGTTAATTGGTAGTTAATATTTCTGTTCATGTTTATTTCTGCCTACCATAATAGTCGTAGACTAGTAGTAATAGTAACTTATGGATATTGATGGATTTTACCGATAAATTTTTTATTTATTTAATATGGCTGATGAAGGTTGATGTTCAAGACCAAGCATGGAGGTAAAACAAAAGGATATCCCGGGTAAAATTATGCATCACATTCACAACAAACCGAAGGTTACATGTAAGTCTCAATCTGGTTAATGGTTTGGTGAGTTTTTTTTTTTTTTTTTTTTTTTTTTTTTTTGTATATGTACAAGTGATATANTAGACTAGTAGTAATAGTAACTTATGGATATTGATGGATTTTACCGATAAATTTTTTATTTATTTAATATGGCTGATGAAGGTTGATGTTCAAGACCAAGCATGGAGGTAAAACAAAAGGATATCCCGGGTAAAATTATGCATCACATTCACAACAAACCGAAGGTTACATGTAAGTCTCAATCTGGTTAATGGTTTGGTGAGTTTTTTTTTTGTATATGTACAAGTGATATAACATGTTAATCCTAACAATGCCTTCTTTGTTTGCTTGTTTTCCTGGTGGCATTTTTTTGTACGATAACTTTTGTTTTTTCATTCTTCATACCGGTCTGAAAGGGCCCACCCGGGCAGGTCAAACCGGTCTAGGGAAGGGTCAGATACAACACCATTCATAGAGTAACCAACTGCTAGCTAGTGGCTTATTTTGATGTCCCTCGGCATTGGAGCTAAAAGAGTCATTTTTGACAATTCTTTTAAGCTTTCGGCGAACAATGGACTACATCGAAATGACATCATAAACTTCTAATGCATTACTTTCAATGAAGTTTTTGTTAGTGCAACGATGCCTTATTGTCAGTTCGTTGTTACTCCGCCATTCTTTTTGGAGTTCTGGTGATCGAATTCGATGTTAAAACTCAAACCAGTTGATCATATTCTTTTTGCAAATTTTGTGTGCTGATGCTACTTGGGAACACCCTCCCTACTTCCGAGTAGGGGCAAGGTCTGCGTACACACACCCTCCCCAGACCTTACTGACCTTACTGTACTGGGATTCAACTGGGTTGTTGTTGTTCTTGTTTGCTAATGCTATACTTGTTCTCTTAGCAATTTGTAAACCCAGTACTCATAGACCTCAGAATTAATTTTGATGTCTTTGGATTATACAATATTTGATTGTTAATTCATGGAGCCTTTGGCTGCATTGGTTCGGTATCTGAGCCTTGTTGATTTAGAGGTTATTAATTCAAATTTCATCGCCATTCCGATTAGAAAAAAGTAATCTTCGCATGTAAGTATTCAACCTCTAAAAAATTAATGTTCGCGTGTAAAGTTACCAGAGTAATTAAAGATTCAACAAGATCATTTTGAGTATATACATGAGCAACTTGATGCTCTTTATCGATTTGGGTGGACGTGCAATAGTCATTATATTCAATGATTGATATGTAAGTTCTCTTGCATTATCAAGCCAGATTTTTTATTAAAAAATTCAAAAATTGTTTTTCATTACCATGTACTCCGTATATTTTAACCATGTGTATGAATACCTTGGGTAATGCATTATATTGTCTTCATCAAAAAAAGATTTTTTCATTTGTCTTTGGTCAAATTTTGACCATAATTTTTGAAAAAAATAGATTTAGTTATAATATAAATTAAATATATTTCAGTTCAGTTTGAGTTGTTTTGATATATTCATTTTTTGTAACGTTTATTTATGTGCGAATATAATTATTAATGATCAAAATATGACATTGATGACAGTAAAAAATACTGGAGTAAATGTAAAATTATTTTAGAACATGTGAAATACAACTAGATTAGATCATAGGCCTCGGTCATAACCCAATTCAAAAAAATAATGAACTTTGACTGTAAGTTTTTTTGGGTCACAAGTAAACCCGGCTCATAAAAAAAGGTTCTCGCTCTACTCCCACATATATTTCTGAATAGGTTTATAGAAATCAACATGAACAAATTAAATTTTAAGTTGTGTATTTTATCTTTCACCTTTGCAGGTTTAATTCTTAACAACATGAAATGTGTGAAAATGAGTACTATATTATTTCTGAATGAGTACTACGTTATTTTACAATGAGTACCACGTTATTTCTAAACAAATAGCTATGTTTGTCCAAGAATGAGTCCTAACTCTACTGTACCTTCTCAGCAGGTTATTCGTTACCGAAACCAAACGTATACAGAGTAGTATCTTTCTACCTCATTAAGAGCTTCCACTTTCGACCTTCAGGTACGATTAATTGCGACTCAGGTGTTTGTTAATTGGACCCAAAGAACTTGTACAGCGTTTCATATTTTGTTTGGCCTATGAATTATGAATGTTAAGCAGCAGCTGCACTGACTGCATCACGCTATAATTCATTCTCTCCAAACATTTTTGTTATTGTACGATAAGAACATGTATCTGTAACATGTAAATGCTAGAGACAAACTAGGGATTAAGAAACGAATCTCTGCAGAAACTTTGTACCTCCCATGATTCTCTCCAACAATCTGTATGCATATTTGCTACAAGTCATTTGTTGTTTCTGTTCTTTTCGAAGTGTTCAAGGATTGGGTTCTTTCTCAATCTCATGAGCAAGTTCTTTTGTCAACTTGTCGGCGCGATCATCAAGTCCCCCGGCAAACGTGTAAATCCGGTATGCAAATTGGAACGCCTTCCAAAGCATCTTCCCAGATGACCCCTTTTTCCCTCCACCCGCTGCTTCTTTCTCCATTGCATTTGAATCCCTCCACTCCTGAGTATCATTACCCAAAAGAAGTCTTTAAAATGTTTTACCATAAAAGCGAAATGCGTTTTATAATAACGATCAAAGAGATATATTGCTTTGATGAACTAACCTTAAGTGCCAACTCCATACAGTTTGAGGACACATCCACCATATACTCTTTGATGCGTACCAGGACGGAAAAATCAAAACTGATTTTGTGACTTGCGTATTTCTTTTCCTCTTCGTCTTTAGTCTGTTCTATCTTTTCCAAATCTCCTTTAATCTAATAAAGAATACTTCAGAGTTCATCACCATCATCTTAATATCAATTAATTGCCAAGTTGTTAGAGTTTAAAACTTTTTTAAGGCCTTCAACCATCAGCTCAAGTTTTTGAATTGGTTTCTTGACACTAATGCTCAATAACATTGTAAATTTACGCAAAAAGTTTTTTTATGCCAGAAACCT